GCCGTAGAAGTCGAATCGAGTTCTGTAAACAAGGGATTTTCCAAGGGAAAATCGTCGAACTCACTTTTGTGATTGAATCATCAATTCAAGCCAAACATTAATCAAATAGGAACAATTTCACTCAAAGAATACCTAGACACAGGAGAACTATTGTCGTGAAAGTGTTGTACAAGCGATTACGAATTTAGATTGCAGAGAGTTTGTTCTGAGCGCTAAAGGCACTCACGATAGAGCACATTTTGCTTTATTCTAACAATAGCTGCCAAGAGACCGTTCCAAATCAATATCGATCCACAGACCGCGATGATCACAGGCGAAAAATTCATCAAAGTTGTAGTAGCCCCCCGCTTTAATCACCACTCCGGAAGTTGCGAAAATCCCATCAATGGGTCTGCCACGTTTGTTGCGATGCTGGGTTGCTGCAGTTCGACTTGGATGACGTTGTAAGATTGTGTCCTCCAATCCTATGCCACGAAGTCGCTGGCGAAAAGAGGAATCCGACTTGATGGGTTGCATGCTGGCACGGCTGGGTGGCAATGATGGCCTGATGGCTTGATGGGCCATAAAGTTGTCAATCGGCATGGACGACAACAAGCCTGTCGCTTGTCTGATCTCCGCCAGAACCGAAATCCAACTGGTCCTCATCCTCATCAAATTGTAGAACACCCTTCTCGATGTCATCATACAAGAGAACCCTGGCCCTTGAGTGGCGCCCTTTTATCTTCGGTTCTGTTTGCTTTCCTTTTGGCAAAGGCTCACCAGGTCCATTGGATAGATTGTGATGATGGCCTTCTGCAACCACTTTCACCCAATGCGCTTTCGAATGTAGCTGCCATTCTTGAAGTTGGGATCTTGTGCCCAAAGATTACAAGAATGCTCGAAGGTATAAGATTGCAAGAGAATTCGATTTGAAAATGGGAATTGAGTTGTGGAACAACGAAGTGACTTTAAGTCTACAACAATTCGAAGTAACGCGCTTTCAACCATTCTAAGACTTCTATTTTACGAGCAAGAAATATCACCCCTAAAAATCGTGCTCCCCCTTTTGGTGGAAAACTTGGTGCTGGCCGGCTCTGACTGGCAGGTGCGCGAGCAGGTCAGAGTTGCGGTTGTTCGTGGTGTCCACTGTTGGCGGTCAGCCGTCGAATTGCATCCCCCAGAACCACGAAAGTGGAACGAGATGGTGCGATGAAATTTGCAAATTACGCAGTTATTCATTCCCTTGACAATTTCGGACTCTGAGCTTCAGAATGGGCAAAAGAAAGTCTCACGAAGTAACAAAAGAAGTCGTAGATCGACAACCAAAGATTGTTGAGCATGTGTCTGATGGCGATGATGAGGAAATATCTGAAGACGAAGCCTTTAATTCTGAAGATGAACGCATGTATGGTCATTTGTTTTGCCGAGACAACGAGGGCGAAGAGACTGACAGCAGCGATGATGCTGAGGAGGAGGACGGAAGTGATGATGGTCAATACATGCTGGAGCTTCTCAATAAACTAGGGAATAGTGCAAGATCGGAAGAGTCGAAGTCATCTAGCCACAAGGGGAAGCTAACATTGGACAACTTGATGAAAGGGTTGAATGATACTCAGGGATACAACGAACTTCGTGGATCGCTAAAGAAGGAAGAAAGAGCAATTTCTGCACCAATTGATAAAAAGCACGCCGATCGGGAACAACGAAACCTTGCATATACAGAACAGGTCAAGAACTTGTCTGGTTGGACAACGGTGATACAAGGGAACCGACAGGCAGAGACTCTGGATTTTAAACCAAAGACACGGGTGGAAGCCTCAAAGGACTCTTTGGTAATTGCGTTCGAACCTAGAAGCGAGTTTGAAAACGATCTACAAGACGCATTGGAACAAGCAGGCCAAGAGGATGAACATGCTATTCTCCAAAAGGAGGAACGCGCTTTGCAAGATGATTTGGGTTCAAATCGCTTATCTATGGATGAATACAAGGAAAGACGTAGCCAACTTGCTCAAATTCGGGCTCTGATGTTCTACCATGAGCAAAAGCGACACCAAATCAAGAAAATCAAGTCAAAGAAGTATCGTCGAATCAGAAAGAAACAAAGGCAACGGCAGCAGGACTCTATGTTGGAAGCTGCAATGCAAGTAGATGGCAATCTTGCAAACGAAATGAAACAGAAAGAAGAAATCTCTCGGATTCAAGAGCGCATGACACTAGCCCACAAGAATACCAGCAAGTGGGCGAAACGTATATTGAAACGAGGCAAGAACATAGATATAGAGAGTCGGAAAGCTCTATCAGCTCAACTGAAAAGAGGGGACGACCTACGAAGAAGGATTATTGACAATGACGATCAAAACGCAAGTGACGGAGCATCAGACGAAGAAGATCTGCTAAAGTCAACCCAAGGCATCCTTGCTGATGTCAAATCGAATGATGTAAGCGGAAGCGAAATGAATGGGCTCTTCAAGCTGTCATTTATGCAAAAGGGAATCCAGAAGCAGCGTGATCTAGCAAAAGAAGAAGCACGGAAGCTGTTGACTGAGCTCAATTCCCACACGATGGATGAAGTCAAATACTCGAATGCAGACACAAACGTTAATACCTCAGGAAAAAGAAAATTTGCTTCGTCACTAGAAATGAAGAAACATTTGGCCAGGGGTGAACTGATGGCGAAATCTCGTGAATTTGGTGTTTCCAATTCACTAGACTCTACCGGTCCAATAAACGTTTTGCATGATTACGAACTTGGTTTGGAGGAATCGTCATCAAGGAAAGGGAATGAACTGATTCTTGGAATCACAAAGGAAAACTCCGGAAAGGGATGCGTGGACAAAAAGCATGTTGATAATCCTTGGACTGGATCGGTGGAATACAAAGGGACGGCAAGTTCGAATAAAGTGGACAAAGACCGTAAAAGTTCAAGATTGAATATGAACCAAACAGTTCTTAATCTAGATGCAGTTGCTGATATATTCGATGCTACGAAGACTGCTGAAAGAGCTTCTTCGAAGACGGAGACTTCAGAGATGTCGCAGTCAAGGAAGATTGCACGCTTAAATCAAGATGAACTTGTTCAAAGAGCGTTTGCAACGACAGCGATGGAAGAGGTGACATCTAAGTTTGAGCAAGAAATTGAGGCCACTGATGGCCAAAAATCCAAAGCTGATGGCGACCCAAAGGCATCGAGTGGCTGGGGTTCGTGGGCTGGAGTGGGAGCCCCTCCGCTGCTACAGGCCAAGGGAGATCGGAAAACTGTGAAGTTGCAGAAAGGTTCCAACCCCCATGGCAAAAGAAGCGCCAATGGAAAGCATGATGTAATCATCAACAAGAAACGACTGAAAAAAGCATCAGATGTCTTCATGTTGGGAGAAGTACCGCACCCATTTAGCTCCAGGGAAGAGTACGAGCAGGTTATGTTGGGTGGGATTGGACGAGAGTGGAATGTCGCAAGTGCATACAGAAATATGACCCGCCCTGAGATCCTCACACGATCAGGCAAATCGATTCGGCCGATATCAAAAAGTGCAAAGGTGAAGCGCGCTGCAGCTAAGTTCTGAATCGATATCGATCCCACTCCACTCTATCCTGATTTTGACCAAGCCATATTGGTTCTACATGCTTATGTATAATATGTAGCCTTAGTTTTAGTCTTTTTCATTTTTGAAAAGATCCATTGAACACGCAAGATTTACCCGGATGGAAGAATTTTCAAATGAACCTTTCATGTCAGATTGAAAAGAGGCAAACATGCACTTATCACCTTCTTCCCCCACTGCAGTTTCAACCCAGATTATATCAAAAGCATGACGGCACAGCAGACGAAAGTAGAGTGATTTCAGAATACATCAACATATGCTGGAGAGTTTGATGTCTTAAATAGGTCTTATATGGGAATCGCGATTGATCAGAAACATCCGTTGGTCTTATGCGCATTGATACTTGTCTGGGACAAAACTCATAGAAATGTCGTTTGGAACGGGAGAACCAGATGAGGAATTAGCAACACCACTGATGGCTATTGGACAGAGAAGTGTCTGTGACCTGAAACCAATTTGAATGGGAAAGAAAGCATCGGAATTATTGCCAGCAACACTGAATTCAAGGCTCCCAGTGGAATTGGTGTTTGAGTCAACAGCATCAAAATGCCAGCACATCATTCCAGAATTTGGATCATGCTTGTATTGACCATCTATACTCTCAATTGCAGGAGGTTCGGTTGTTCCGAGGGGCAGAAGAATATTAACATCATGAAGCACAATGTCAGCTCTAGTGAGTTCCATTTCAATACTGACTGTGATTCTGCCAGATCCTTCATCCTCAGGCCAGCAGTTGATTGAAATCGGAGCAGCATCCTCGTTGTTGTACGACCAGCGCAGTATACCCACGGAACGAGCAATAGGAAATGCTTTTCCACCCTTCAGCGCTAGAACACCCCGTTGTTCATATATCTTCTTGTCCACCTTTGGATGCGTTGCATAGTTAAAAGTAGATGGTAGCTGAGACTTGTTGATAGTAACTACAGCAGCTGCGCCAGCATCGGTATTGGCAGTGAGATTCAGGATGCCCTTCACTTCGCAGTTCTCCACACCTCCTTCTCGGTTCATGTTTACACTGATTTTCTCTTCCAGGACCAAAGAAAGCGGAGTTGATGGAGCCGCAGGGGGCGGGGCAACAGCGGGAGCTCCAAAGCCAAAGTCTATACCACCTCCTTTGCCACCAACAGGCAAAAGATTGTCCTCCACGGCCATTGCAGCCATGAGCGAGTCTTTCTTTCCACCCTTGCCCATTGAAAGTTTCATACCCGATTTTGCCAATACCTTGGGTGCGATAGCAACCGGAGCGGTGGACTTTTGCAATGAGGCGTAAGGGTTGTATTCCTGCTGGGTGGGGACTTGCTGCTCCATCCCCTGAAACTGGTCGAACATTCCACCTTGACTCGGTGCACCACCACCACCAAATCCTTCCATTCCTCCAAGAGAGCCAGAGGGAGCCTGTCCTGATAAGAATGTTTGTCTCTGCTGGGCCATCTTTTGCTCTTGTAGTGTTTTCGCCTTTTTCTGCATCTCTGCTCGAGCAGCGTCTTCCTTAGACTGTTGAAGAGCTTTGTGAATCTTTTCTTCGTGACTGTCCATGATTAGGTTCGTACGGATGGACGAGAGAGTGGCTTCTTCCTTGTACCCGCCAGCTGTCAAAACTTCATCAAATGCAAATATCAGCTCGAAAGCATTTTCATTGATCGTATGCTCTTGGAGACCTCCAGCAACATCTGGTACAACTTTCGCCAGGAGTCTTAGAGTTCCAAGATCTTCGACAATGTTGCTCGCTTTGGTGGTGACAAGGAGCAGGTATAGATTGTTTTCCAAAGGTTGGTACACATACCTTACACTGTCAGTTTCAACATATGTGTGTTGTTTAGCATGACCAACAAGTTTGGGAAAAGCGGCCAGAAGACCCTCGACGCGGAGACGATTCATCTCAACGAACTGACGTGACACTAGGGCTTTTCCCTGTCTCGTGCAGACGGATGCGGATAATACAACCTGGAATTGGATGAAACGGTTAGATTCTCGAGGAAGGTAGGATCAGGTTCGACCGAACGAGATCGAATTACAACTTCGAGTTTTGGGAGAACTGAGACAGTGATTAAAACCCTTCCTTACAAAACAGCGCAAATTCACTCACCATACTGTAGCTCTTGTCGGCGACTTCACGGCCACGATTTGTGAAGTGCAACGACAAATGCCAATTTCGACAGACATTGGTCCACCAATGCCTGCGTGAGCTATAGTAGATGGGCTACGGTACAAATTCTGTGCCGGTACAGTACTCATGCAAACGCAAACATTGTGGGTCTGATTTTTGATTAGTCGGACTCAACTGTATGGCATCATCACAAGTGCTTGATCGGCAAGACGGAGACGTATGGGCGTTTCTAGCTCTTCCTTAGTCTCAATTTCCGTCGTGTCGATTACGGCGCGTCGCTTCAGTGAAGTACACGGTTGGCGGACGGAGCGAAGAGTGTCGACGAAGAGGACGGAAGA